CTAAAAGCATGTTATCTCCAGAGACATCACAAAAATTGGTATTCGCATCTTTCCTATTTTCTAAATTCCACAGAATTGACAGCAGAAAAAATAATTCTCTGTCTGCAGATGTCTGTTTAAGCAACCCATGCATACATCCTTTTTCACTTTTTATACCTTTAGGCTTACAGCACAGAAAGATTTTCAGTTTCATTGGAGGTGAACTTCTTCAGCATTTATTTGCTTTCTGCAAAATTTCAAATAATCCTACTTCTTGGCAAGGATGCTGTTGTAAAGAGAACATTGAGGAAAATGTTAAGACCTGTGCAGAGTTTCTGGTCTGCTTATCCAGTCAAAAAAGTGTTGGAAAGCTATATGACTTAAGTCATTAAGAAGGCTGAGATTTAAAACATTCACGTCCAGTTCTTATTTGTCAAATATGCTGTTATACTCATTATTCAAATTTGTACATTTTGGTAACCTGAGATTTCATTGTGGGTATTCCATAACGAGAAACTAAGCTTGCTATAAATTTTTTTCCTTCCAGGTCTTTTATTTTTCTTTCCTTTCCTTTTCTTTTTTTCCTTTCTTCCCGCAGAATTGTTTTGGAAGAAATTTTGTTTCTTAGAACAAGAGTGGAGTTTTCATGGTAGACCAGAGCAGCGTTGATGGAGTTTGTTCAGCAGCGCTGTCCTGGTGCTGCTACTCTGTGTTAAAAAGCAGCAAAGTCTAGTCCATTGAGGTGCCAAGTCATTTGAAGTACTGAATTTCTAGTTGAATCTGGGATCATAAACATCTCATTAAGCGCTAAATCGTTATACTTGGTGATTAGAGACTGTTTTTTCTTTTAAGTGGATTTTTTTTGAGAGTGGATCTTTTCTTAGAGATGAGCCTGAACTTTGCAGAAACATTTTTTACTGCTATTGCTTCTAATGTATCTAATAAAAAGAAATCTAGAACTAAGGGGCTAAAAGCCATACTGCTACGTCTGGATGTATTTCTCTTTGCTGTAGGCAAACTGTGAGGCCGACTGTGAAGGTGAGATCTGTGTCTCACAATGCAAAGTTCAAGACTCCTTTTAAAGTAGTGGTGATGTGCAGCATCTCCTGTGCTGTGATTTCTCTCATCCTGAAGCTGCTATTTAAAATACGCCACAGGAACTGGTCCCCAAATATGGCTGGGGTTTTTTATTATTATTTTTTTTTATTGAAGCCTATGTTACTGGTGCGGGTAAAAATATTTAAAATTAGATGAGCTCTCCCCTCTGCTGCTTCTTGGGGGTCATCACCAAGTGAGATGTTTTGGATGGGGCTTTTTCAATGTGTGTTACATTTCAGTCTGACAAGGAAGTACGTAGTCTGCCGGCTGCTTGACCACTCTGTGGCATGACTCCTCTTAGTATAAATAAGTACATGTTTCAAGGTTTGCATTGTGAGTAGATTTTCAGAATTAATGCCCAGGAATCTATTGCTGACTGCAGGTTGTAAGGAGGCAATTTGAGAAAGGTTGGGCAGGTTGACTTGAAAGGGTGGGAAATTAAATGAAGTGCAAGAAGTCTTTACCTCACATTTCTTTGGAGCCTCTCTTATGTTTGTTTGTTTGTTTTCTTTAACTGTTCTTTGCCCTGGTAACTTGGTAGCAATTCAGTCTTCCTCTTTCCTCTCACCCCAAGTCTCCTATGACTTGAGAATCTTGTGCAGCTCTGGAATAGGGAAATGAGGACAAAAGGTTAGTCAAGGTGGATTTACCAGTTGCCTACAGATGTTGTAATGGGTACTGCCTGAGGCTGGGCAGCCCCTGAGTCGGGGCAGGGGGGCAGTTGTACATGCACACAGTGTCATGGTGCAACCCGGGGAGCAGTTTGGTCTGCACCAAGGCTGCAGGCTGAAAGCTCACAGGGTCCCACCACTGGTTGCTCACACCTACCCATAGCTGAACCTCTACAGCAGGAGCCTCTTTCAAAGTGTTTTGCAAGATTTGGTCATCTGGGAGCACCGATGGACAAAATGCAGCTGTAGATTAACCCCCAGGGGACTGGGAGGAGAGGCAATACTGGCTCCAGCATTACAGGATGTGATTACAGCCATGGGGCTGTGCTGATCTGCTCCCTGAATCTGCCTGAAAATCCCCAGCTCTGGCTGGGGAAAAGTGTTCTTCAGGTGCTAAGTGACAAGTTACTTCTTTAGTGGTAAGGCTTTCCCAAAGATGGAAAGAGAGTTATATTTTATTCAACCTTTCAGTCTGAAAAATCTGAAAATAAAAACGTTCTTGCTTTTTGAGTGACATATTATCTTTCTGGAAAGGGGGCTGTAAATATAATTCAGCCATGTTCTTTCTTGTCGTCATAGGAAAATGGTTTGATTTCCCTCCTAATAGTCAAGCATAAAAAAAAAAGGCCTATGAATTATTACTGCAATTTCAATAGCTGTAATAGGTGCATTGCAGCCAAAAATCTGCTTAAACTGCTTTTGCTGTTCCTATAGAGAAGTGTGTGATGCTGAGTTATACTGCACGTTATTAACAAATTTTAGAAAGTTATTGGAAAGATGAACATTGTCAGAAAAAGTTAATGAGAGAAACATAATTCTCTGAGAAGCCAGCAAATGAGGGTTTGCAATGAGGATGTTGGCTGGGTATCAGAAGAAACTTTTTTAGCAGTGGAAACTTTGGTTAAAGTGAGGTATAGCAGGTCTTAGCTGTGTCTCTTAAGTCTCTCAAACATAATAACTGAAATCCTAGAATCTGACTCATTCAAGAACTAGAATGGTAATTGTAGGTGCATTCTACAGTGCCAAAAAAAGAGAAAAATCTTGAATAGCAGACTTATGGCAGTAGATGACACTTCGTTATTTTTATTTTCTTCTGATATGAAATATGCTGAATTTTGTCTCAGATCTAATCACTTTACTGCGGGGAAGGTGATGTTACCTGTTACAGGAGTCCTTTGGAAGCTGCTGTGGAAATACGTGGGGCTGTTTTTAACTTGTGTCTTTATTTAATAGTGAATTTCAGTGAGGACAAGAGCAGGTAGATATAGAAGGATTGAAGTTCAGTGGCACTCTTTGCAGTAAGTCTGCACACATTTATTATTGCTATCATTATATCTTTTCAAAGGCAATTTATATATGGCAATATTTGTTCCCTGCTAGCACTTTATAGAGGATATAGCCCAGAGTCTAAAGCCGTCTTGTTATGCTATGTAAAAGCAAAGTAACTGTGACAGTGATGTCCTAGCAGCATACTTGATTCATGGGATATAGACAGATGAAAGTTTTAAGGATCTTGAGCTAACATAACAGTATGTGACAGCCAAAAGGGAGGATTTGCACTGTCTTCTCCAAACGTGTTGCCCCATCTTCCCTTTCCTAGCCACACCGTTCTGCCACTTGCATATCTCTCCATGAGCCAGTCCACCTAAGCAATCTGTCAGAAATCTGAACCAAAAGTAGTGGATAGTTTTCAGCTGTTTTCTGAGTAGCATCTGAAGGAAGACTCCAGCCAGCAAAAAGGAAGTCAGACACTTCTTTGAAATTGGCTACAAATGGGTTTGTTTTAGAAAAAAAGATTATATACCACATTTTCCTCTATCTAATCTTCCAGAGTTTTAGACCCAGACTTGGACCAGAAAGATGCACAAAAACATCCATCTAGGTGATGGATAACTGTCCCTGTCATTTACTGTTTATTTTGATTTGATTTTGTCAGCTATGCTAGATATAAAGCTGCATATTTATTTCTTCAAAGAGCATTGCATATTGAATAATCTAGAGCTACTTCTTGAGTCACTATAAGACAATAGTATTAATGGTATGTGTTGCTCTCAAAGTTAGAGATTTTGCAAATGATACTTTGATTGAAAATCTAGCTTTTCGATGAAGACAGTTTCACTGTCAGGAAAAGCTGGCTGCAAATGGTTGAGCTGAAAGGGGATGTTAAGGCGAAGATGTTTGTAGAATATCTGAAAAAGGTAACTGTTGATTTTTTCTCAAAGTCTCAAGAAAGTGATAGAAAAAAACAGCAGCCGGGGAATTTGTTGTTTACTGTCTTCTGTTTAGGAAGCAGAGGGAAATAATAGAAACAATAACATGTAACAGAAGAAAGTTTGGATACTGGAAAATACCTCATTTATTCTGTGTATCTTGCCATCTACCCTTGTCCTGGAGCAGGAAATGGTTTGATGTCTTGCTTCTCCTTCACTCATCAGCAAGCAATAAGAAATACCTGTGTCCATCCCTTATACTCTTGGTTTTATACTATGTTTTATCTATATTATGATAGGACAGGGATTTGTCTCCCACACATCTGAAGGGTGAATACTTTACTCAAGGCAGGTTTAGAAGCCTAGGCTTTCCTTCTGTTTTTCCCTGGGCAGTGAAAGGAAAATGTTTGGCATGGCTCCAATTGTGCTAGCTTAATTCAAAGGACCATCTTGTATCACCATACTCTGAAAATTGCTTTCTATAAGTGATTTATCCATTTCTGGCATGGGTAGCTGGATGGTTACAGTACAGAGGTAATTAGGCGCACTGAGTGAAATCCCAACTTAATTGCATACAATGGTAAAACATCCTTTGATATCAATGGGGCCAAGGTTTCTCATCATCATTCTCAAAGGTCCCATGTCATAGAAAAAAAGAAGAGCTAATCAAAAGTTGCATCAAAGTCTATTTAAGTTTCTTTAAAATGAAGGATTTTTACCTCATTTGTTAATCAAAAAGGAATGTGGTTTATAGAATTATAAAATCAAGATTGTAATTTCATAAGCTATTCAGCACATTAGGCTTCAGTAATTGTATTACTGTTTTATTTATTAGACTACATGTTTAAAGATATTGCAAAATACTGCAAAGGTAAAGATTGCAATTATGATTTACATAAGTGATTGGTTTTGCAGTAAATGTTTTTGGATAAATGGAGAGTAGAAAAGTTACTGAAACAACTTGTGAAACATCTTCTATTTTGGTTCCATCTATGTTTAGGAAGCTCAATGCTAACAGTTCTTTTTTCTGTTCTTCTTGCAGCCAATTCCAGCCTTCTTGGAGGTGGAGGAGGTGAGTCTTTGCTTAATGCTCTATTTATTCTTGAATAAATGTGCCGTATATGCTGAGAAAATGTTGTGTTTAGTTGATTATAAAACAATGTATGATAAGTTCAAAAGGTAGAAAAGTAAAATTATTAGATGGGAAAACTCACTAAAGTCAATAATGTTTCCTACCATCAAGAGGCAAGGTGTGTGACTGCTGCCGAATCTGTGTTCCCCTCTGGATTAGAGTAGGGCTGACCTGTATATGGGGCTAACTGAAACGTAAAGGAATTGAACTGCCTTATGTAGTGTTTAAGTATTAAGGATTACTTCAAGAAAACCTTGAATGCATGCTAAATAAACAGGTTTTTTTAAAAACGTTAAGTGATTAAAACATGGTAAGAACTCATTTTACTAAATGAATGATTTATTTGCACTTTTGTTTTTTAAACTTGGTTGCTTACCCCATTCTATTTGCTGGAATACTCAAGTAGCTTTCAATACAAATCTTTGGTGCGTGTAAGAGATGCTACCCCTCAACATGGGTATTAGTGAGACGGAGAGGCCCGCGTAGCGGGTATTGTTTCCAAATATATGGGTGCTGTAGATCAATTCTATTTTGCTGTTTGTAGTACTGCAGTACTGCGGCTGTAAGAGCTTACATGAGTGTTAACAATTCAGGAAAAAAAAAAAAAAACATGAAGAGCTTGATCTCAGTTTTCTGCCTCCCAGAGGGAAGCAAAAGAGCTCAGTTCTGGAAATTTCACAGTGCGGGAGCGGTACGGGCAGGGACTAATCTTCCTTCCTGGCTGGAGTTAAAAGGACTCGATGATCAGAGCTTACATATGCAAGGTTAAAGGAAAGGGCTCTGTAAAAAGACAGAAGATCCCTGTTGCTTTTGAGGCTTGAGGACAAGTCCTCAAAGCGTTTGTTTTAACAGCCTTAACTGAGTGGGCCTCTCTTATTTCTGGACCAGGAAAAGGTGCTGGACAACTGCACCCAGGCGTCTAAATAAAACAGTTAATGTTTCTCAGATGTGTGTCTGGACGTTAAAGTACAAGGAAGCCTTACCTGGTAATCCTGTTGGATTAATCTGTTTCTTTTGATTCAAGTTAGTTGTTTGCAGTATAGCAAATTTTTCTTTGTTTAAAAGATAATCCTTTAAAAGGTAATCCTTCGCTAGCCATTCATGCTCCTGCAGAGCCATCCATGTACCTCCTCTCCAGCGCTTGCTCTCAGCTGGCAGCCTCAAAAAAAAAATAATAAAATAAATCAATGCAAATGTTCAAATTCCAATCAGGTTCCCAGAGCACTGGTGTTGCTGAAAGGATTTGGCTATTGACTTTCCGTGGTATTTATTCAGCTGGACCATACTTCAAAAGCTGATGTCCGTTCAGCGTGGCACTAGATAACATGGCCCTCCCTCTGTGGCAGATGGGATGAGCCCACGCCACCAGTCAAGTGAGGATTTTTCCTGTATTTTATGTGTTCGAAATGGGGGAGTTTCAATCAAATTAAATTTATTGGCAGTTAAAAGCACCTCAGCCCTCTCCCCCCCCCAACTTCCTGGTTTCCCCCTGCCTCAGCACAGGCTGAGGCAGTGGGGGCAGAGGAGGCTGGGGTAGCGGGCTGCTGCGCCTTCTCTCCTGCATCTCCCTTCCCTCCTCCTTCCTTGGTGTCTTTTTGGGCTCATACCTCCATTTCTGAAACAATTTTCCTCAGCGGGGTCGGGAAGCACCTGCAGCAGGTTGAGTTTCGGCACATGGCGGGTCCCTTGGGTCCTCTCACAGAGAGACCCTGCAGCGCTCCCTCCAACCCCGCCCCAGGCCAAAACCCTGCGAAACACAATACCAGATCCTTTAATCTCCGGTGGAAGGATAAGAACATGCCCCCTTGCTTGCGATGTAGGTAAAATACCAAATTTGACTATTTTATGGCTTAGAGTTTGATGGTTGAGGGGCTGTGTTTGTACTCTGGAGGTACCCTCCAGGGTAGGGTGGCCGACGCCTCCTCACAGTGCACTCACTTAGATTTTCCAAGTCTTCTGAGGAAAAATTTTGAGAATTTCTTTGTCAAAGTGCCCCTGAGTTTGGGCAGCCGCCGTGGGCTGTCTGTGGCTCTGGCCTTGCGTGTGTGGGTTGCCCGTGCCCTTTTGGAGGAGGGAAAATGCACGGGGTCTGAGAGCTGGAGCTTGCTCAGGGGAGCACAAGATGGAGGTGCCCCTGGTTGACCCACCCGCGCCTCCAGAAGCAGACAAAACCCAAAGCCCCTACCTCTTGGAAAATTGACTTGTTACTGACAACATGCATTTCTCTGTCGAAATGATAATTTCGTTTCCAGTTGAAGGAGTTCGGATTTTAAATTCTGGATATTCTTTTTTTCCTTTTTCTAGAGGGAAATGGCGGCACTCCATTGCCGCCATTTGAGATGGCACTCCATGTGAAATATTGCTAGTGAATTATTAAAACTTTATTATATACGTAAACACCAAAGCCTCCTTTTGATTGCAGATTCTGAATATTTATGACAATGCATAATACTGGTGTAGTTTCTCCAATAATGGGATTCAGATCTCTTAAGTAAGGCTCGTTAATTTAATCTGTCTGTCACTGCTGGGGGTATGAATACGTATCTTAGTCTTACAGAAAATGAGAACCAGAAATTTCCACTTGTCCAAGCTCATGCAACAGGTTTTGTGATTTTTAAGCTGCTTTTGAGCTGTTTGATGTTTGAAATCTTTCCAGAATTGAACACAAATTAGTTGGAAATAGTTATTTGAACACCCTGATCTAATGTTTGTCAATTACTCAGTATGTATGTTAAAACCATCATCCTTAACTGTTGAGGAACCCAACGGGCAACATATCAATAAACATAGCACACTTGGATGTAAGTTCAGGTGCTGGTGGTTTTAGGCGGCTGCTGATCATCCCTGCGTCACCTCAGAGCCACATCAGTGCACCCGTGTACTTTGATTTCTCAGAGCCGGAATAATGATTTGTTCTTGCATTCCCCATTTAAATGCTGTCTATTCAGTTTCATGACCATTTGGAATGAAGAGATAAAAGCACAAAAGACACCAGAAACTATTTTTCACAGAACTGTTTAATCATAAAATCGAGAAACCCACAATAGACTCTCAGAAGAATCTTTAGTTAAATATAGATGTTGAAGATGTTTCTTTCTGCTTTTCAAATAACTCTGAAGTTTCCAGGATTTCATTATGAATCTGGTGAGTGAACCTTTTTTCTTTTCATTCTTTACTGTTTTTAATAATTGATTTTTAATTAGGAGACATATTTCACTTTCAGCTCTAGATTTATCACACATTCAGCTTCTCACTGCTCCTATTAACTTGCACAGAGCATTATGACTTATTTGTGCATCATGTATTATTTGTCCTATTATGTTCAACAGTGCAAAGGTGAAAATTATTAAGAAAATTGCCTGCATTTGGCAGGAGTGAGGAAAAAACATTTGATATTTTGAGAACGTGACCCCTTTTAAAAATGTATCGTGAAGTTTTGACTGTTGAGGAATCAAAAGGCCCTAGTTTGTGTGGCAGTTTTTTTTCTTTACATTCTTTTACAGCTGTGTCAAAGAATGAAAGTGTGTGATTTCAGGCACTTTGTTAAAGCAAAGTGAGCAAGAGCTGAGATTTCTCCTCCCCCTTACGGTTTTAGATAATCTGTGGGATTTTGGGGGGGTTGTGCCCCATTAGCCCCACCTCATTTTCAATTGTTTTCCTTAGGATTAATTTTTCCTTTATTTCATTTGCTGATTGTATTCAAGTTCTTGTTGCATGCTGATTTCTGGATTGTCTTGCTTGCTTTCTTTGACCTTAAATTGAGGGTATATTTAAAATAGCAAAGTAGGGATTTTTATTTTTTTTTTGCTTCATAGGATTTTTTTGCCTATGCTGGAATTGGGGAAGGAGACATCATCATTAAGTGTGTCCTGTTATGAACATAATTTTTCTTAGCTCTGCACTTGAAAATTGTAATTTTGTCTTTAAAAACTTTGAGAGAAGGCAGGTTACATTCACAGTTTTTTGGAGGCATTGTTTGGACCTGGTTTAAGCTGGTTGCCCCAAAAGGTCTGTCTGCTTTTCTGTTTCTCTCCGTCTCTCTCTTTTTTGGCCAGTGTAACTATATCTTTTCTAGGGCTTTTGCTGGCATGGAAAAAATGAATTCCTATATAGCCATAAGTATGTTAGCATATCTTAAATGTAGACCAGACTTACCTCTCCAGTCTGCCAAGATACGGTTTGTAGGCATGTCATTTTAAGCAACTGTTATGGCATGGGGAACTTGTATTGTGTTCATGATCACAGCAGGGAACTGGCTTTCTCTGCACATTATGGGGTAGGCTCCATTTTGAAAGGTGGGTTTGTTCTACACCTTTGTTTGCCTTTACCTCTGTGTTAAATTATAATCGTGACAAAAAAAAGCGTGTTTTCTTCTGCTAGAAAGAAATTACCACAGACTGATGTCTGTCCTGGAACATGGGTTTATGTAATGAGCTATTCAGCGGCTGGAGCCTTTTGCCGAGCCTGGGCACAGGATCACATGAGGGAGGAGATGGACTTTGTGTGAGGGTCAGTGTGTCATCTCAAAACGGGAGCAGCTGCGCTCACCTACAGCCATCTAGTGTCACATCAGCCCAATGGGCTGTCTGGGGTAGCGTTGTGGATCTGGCAGATAGGACACAGGGCTGGGTGGGGTTCTGCACCTTTCCAGTGTGAAACTGGACAGTCACGTACATCACTCGGTTTGGGGCAGCTGAGGTACCACCAGGTACCTGCGTTTGAGCATCTGGATTGTACCACTTGGGTCCAAATTAATGGTGGAGATGTTCGTCTTCAGACATGGGTATAGCAAGAGTGTAGCACAACCATCTTGTCTGCTGCTAATGCTATAGAAATATAGGATATAGGACTTTGCTGGTGGTGCAAAGTCACTGGTGTTTGCCAGCCACCCCGTCTATTTGTCAATTAACTGCAGGCTAATGAGTTCAAAAAGCCAGTGA